GATTTTTAGGGAGATTCCTGCCAGGTTTCTGAAACAAAGGGGCATTTATAAACAAATGGTGAGTCTACTGAAAAGGAATGGAATTCAGCATAGATGGGAATTCCCAGAAGGAATCTCTTTTTACTTTAAAGATAAAAGATTCAAACTAACTAGCCCCCAAGAGCTAGAAATTTTTTCCAGAAGATACGACAAAGGGTTAGGGAGGATAGAAAAAACAAAACCAAGACAGGATCAGAAAGAGGAAGGAAAGGAAGAGAAAGAAGAACAACAGGAAGAAGAGGAGGAACAAGAGGAAGAGAGAGAAGAATCAGAAGAAGAAGACAACAACAGAGAACAGTAAACTTAGCTCAACTGAGTGAGAACTCTTAGATAAAAGAAATAATGAAACTGAAAGTATTTTCTTGGAATGTTAATGGGATGAACAATAGAAATAAGAGAGGAAAAAATAGTCATGTTTTGATTAAGCGAAACCTGGATATCATATGCCTGCAAGAAACACATGCAGCAAAAAAACATAAAAGAATTTTAAGTAATAAAAAACTGGGCCAAGAGTTTGTTGCGTCAGACTTGAACAAAAAAAGAGGTGTGGTAATATATGTAAAAGAGAAGCATGATCCCAAATTAATTTTTAAGGAACATGAGGGAAGAATATTGATTGTACAAATTGGGTTTCAAGGGGGAAAATGGCTGATTGTGGGGATTTATGCACCAAACAATAAGAAAGCTGAATTTTATACAAAGTTGAATGAATTAATGTTAGAGTATTTAATAATAAATAATAATAATAATAATAATAAATTTTATTTATATCCCGCCCTCCCCAGCCGAAGCCGGGCTCAGGGCGGCTAACAACTATAAAACAGTACAAAAATACAGCACAAACAACACTCTAAAATCATTCATTATAAAATTAATTAATTCAAGCCACTGGCAACCATTGGGCCAGAGCTCCGCGAAGATTGCCGAGGGAGGGAGTCAGGCTGTGCCCTGGCCAAAGGCCTGGTGGAACAGCTCTGTCTTGCAGGCCCTGCGGAAAGATGTCAAGTCCTGCAGGGCCCTGGTCTCTTGTGACAGAGTGTTCCACCAGATCGGAGCCACAGCCAAAAAAGCCCTGGCTCTAGTTGAGGCCAGCCTAACTTCTCTGTGGCCTGGGACCTTCAAGATGTTTTTATTTGAAGACCTTAAGTTCCTCTGTGGGACATACCAGGAGAGGTGGTCCCGTAGGTACAAGGGTCCTAGGCCGTATAGGGCTTTAAAGGTTAAAACCAGCACCTTAAACCTGATCCTGTACTCCACCGGGAGCCAGTGCAGCTGGTATAGCACCGGGTGAATGTGATCTCGCAGTGAAGACCCCTAAGGAGTCTCGCTGCAGCATTCTGCACCCGCTGGAGTTTCTGGGTCAGTCTCAAGGGCAGCCCCACGTAGAGCGAGTTACAATAATCCAGTCTGGAGGTGACTGTCGCGTGCATCACAGTGGCTAGGTCAGGGCAAGAGAGGTAAGGAGCCAACTGCTTAGCTTGGCAGAGATGGAAAAATGCCGCCTTTGTTGTAGCTGCAATCTGCGCCTCCATGGAAAGGGAGGTGTCGAAGATTACACCCAAACTCTTAACGGACGGTGCTGGCACTAATTGCGCCCCCGCAAGAGATGGGAGTTGTCCCCCCAATCCCATATCGTCCCATCCCAGCCACAGGACCTCTGTCTTCGAAGGATTTAGCTTCAACCGGCTCCCACGTAACCATCCAGCCACAGCTCCCAAACATCTGGTCAGTGTGTCTGGGGCCGAGTCAGGATGGCCATCCATCAACAGATAGAGTTGGGTGTCATCAGCATACTGATGGCAACCCAGCCCAAAACTCCGGACAAGCTGGGTGAGGGGGCGCATAAAGATGTTGAAAAGCATCAGGGAGAGTATCACACCCTGAGGTACTCCACACACCAAGGAGTGGCGCGATGACAATTCCCCCCAAACGCCACCCTCTGTCCCCGACCAGAGAGAAACGAGCGCAGCCATTGAAGGACTGTGCCCTGGATCCCCACGTCGGCAAGCATACTGATGGCAACCCAGCCCAAAACTCCGGACAAGCTGGGCGAGGGGGCACATAAAGATGTTGAAAAGCATTGGGGAGAGTATCACACCCTGAGGTACTCGCAGAGGTACCTGAGTACCTGAGGTACTCGCAGAGACCCTGAGGGCACTTAGGTGCGATCTCATTGATGGCTGCCAGGAGCTGGATATTCCAGCCCTCAACAAGCTCAGTCAATGAGTCGCCAGGGGGAGGAAGGTCCCGCAAGGCTTGGCGGAATCTATCAGGGTCCATCAGCCTCTGCGGGCAAGCCCAAATCGGCTCGCCACCTAAGCAGGGTGGAGGTGGAAAGTCAATCCTGGCTTTCAGAGCGTAGTGATCAGACCATGGCACCTTCATCGAAGGAGACATGATCACATCTATACCTACGCCAAAGATCAAATTCAGCGTGTGGCCTGCTTGATGTGTGGGGCCCGAAACAAACTGGGAGAGCCCTAGTGTCGCCATGGAGGACACCAGGTCCAGAGCCTGTGAGGAGGGAGTGGCATCAGCATGGATGTTGAAGTCCCCAAATACCAATAGGTTAGGGAACTCCAAGGCCCAGCCGGCCACCACCTCCAATAGGCCTGACAGGGTGGCTGCTGGTGCGCTAGGTGGCCGGTACACCAGCCAGACAGCCAAGCTCTCCTCGGAGCCCCACACTAGGCCAACACATTCAAGGCCGGGGATCGATGGCGATGGTAGAGCCCTGAAAGGACAATCTTCCCGGATTAATAATGCCACCCCTCCCCCCCGGCCCACAGTCCGCGACTGGTGGAGGACGGAGAAACCTGGGGGAGCCATCTCTCGTAAGGTAACTGTTGCCCCTTCGCGCACCCAGGTCTCCGTCACACAAACCAGGTCGACCCCCTGCGAGATAAAGAAATCTCGCAGGGTGGCGGTTTTGTTGCCTATAGACCTGGCATTGCACAGCACCAGTGACAGAGGTGAGTAATCCTTGCTCACCCTACCCTCGTCCCTCGGGATGGGGCGCAGATTGGAAGGGGTACGAGCATATCCGTATCTCGATCCCCTTCGCCTATAACATCTGCCCCCACCACCATACCTCCCTCGCCCCTCCACGGTAGCAATCCCAAGAGTCATAGTAGCCTCCATTGATGGCAATTAATGATAGAGATGTAGAGAAAGTGGCTAGAGAAAAGTTTTTCTCCATCTCATAACCCTGAGAAATTGTGGGGATCCAATGAAGTCGAATGTTGGAAATCTCAGGACAGACAAAGAAAAGCATTTCTTCACACAGCACATAAACTATGGCATTTGCTCCCCCAAGAGGCAGTGATGGCTGCCAACTTGGACCACTGTAAAAGAGGTTGAGGCAAATTCCTGGAGGCCAGGCCTGTCAATGGCTGCTGGCCACAATGGCTCTGCTCTGCCTTCCCATGGTCGAAGGCAGCAACGCATCTGAGTTCCAGTTGCTCTTGTGCTCGAATCCTACTTGTGCGTTTCCCACAGGTTTCTTGTTGGCCCTTGTGAGGACAGGAGGCTGGACTAGATGAGCCACTGGCTGGATCCAGAAGGCTCTGCTTAGGTTCTTATGAGTTGTTCCAGAGGAGCCAAAACACTACATGGGGAAAGGATACCAATGGATGGAAGAAAACACACACACCTTATTTTCCCCTACCCATGTGGCACCAGGGCCTTTCTGTGACACCTCCAGTCTTCCCTCTATTCATTATATGTATTTACAAAACTACAGGACTCTGTCAACATGCCCTGAGGTTGTCTGGAAGTGCTGCACAAGAGAAAATGCTGACTCTACATAAACATTACACATCTCAAACCTAGAGCAGCAAAGTCATTGTGTGTCGTAGGCTATTCTGCACTGTGTTATTTGGTACCACAGCTTTGTCATGAAAAAGCGCCTTGTGCATAGAACTCTAGGTTAACACACTCATACCCACACCCTGATCTGAACTGCACCTTAAAAGTCTCCTTTCAAAATAAGCCAGCATTAACACTTTGGTGACCACAACATTGGCAATCAAAAGTAAGCTTTCCAAGAGAAGGGGCAGGGATTGCACATCTGGCTGCTAACAAGTTCTTGTAGTTTTTTGGAATATGACAGCAATAAATTAAATCAAATGCAGTAGTTATGGCACATACAATGGGGAACACACACAAAAACAATCTATTTATTAAGGTAATAAGCAGCAGTTGGCAGGAGGCCAGAAAAGGCACAACAATAACTGTGGGAAAACTATTAAACAAAAACGGAAGAAATTACAGTGATGTATGCTATGCATTTACGTACCTGGTAAATGATACATGATGTTAAGTATCATTTACAACAATGATTCCTTGGGCTTTGTGTTATCTATGGAATGGAAAAGGGTAAAGGTAAAGGGACCCCTGACCATTAGGTCCAGTCACAGACAACTCTGGGGTTGCGGCGCTCATCTCGCCTTATTGGCCGAGGGAGCTGGCGTACAGCTTCCGGGTTATGTGGCCAGCATGACTAAGCCACTTCTGGCGAACCAGAGCAGCACACGGAAATGCCGTTTACCTTCCTGCTGGAGCGGTACCTATTTATCTACTTGCAATTTGTGCTTTCAAACTGCTAGGTTGGCCGGAGCAAGGACCAAGCAATGGGATTTGAACTGCCGACCTTCTGATCAGCAAGCCCTAGGCTCTGCAGTTTAACCCACAGTGCCACGCACATCCCATCTATGGAATGGAACTTTTATTCAAATAAACAGAATAAACAATTGGTATGATTAATTCAACTCATAGCTTTTATTCTTTTTTTAAGTATAGGAGGTTCAGAGACTATGTGTTCACAGTAACCCTGGAAAGGAACCCCCCCCTCCCCATTTTGTCTGGGGTCAGTAAGTGCTGAAAATAAGACAGTTGTGGAAGTAAGATTTCAGATCTTCGTCACTGCACCACATTGGTATTGCAGTGGAGGTGGGGGGCAGGCAGACCTCAGCTCAGAGGCAGAGCACCTGCTTTCCATGCAGAAGGTTCCAGGTTCAATTCTGGACATTAGCAGTTAAACGGATAAAGTAAGAGGCAATGGTAAAGACAGGTCTTCCCAAAAACTTGGATGCACCTGCACACTCCTTGGAAACTAAAATACTAAACTAAAAAATACTCACTGCATAGAAGATGAATGTTCTTATATATATCACAGAGCAATATCAGGGGTCTGGCTCTGTGTCCCCCTCACCATCCAAAGTTGGGCAGGTGGGTACAAGAGACAGGTCCCTTTTAATGGTGGCACCATTGTTATGTAATGTCCTTCCTAGGTAAAAATGGTAAAGGCCCCCTGGACAGTTAAGTCCAGTCAAAGGCGACTATGGGGTTGCGGCGCTCATCTTGCTTTCAGGCCGAGGGAGCCAACGTCTGTCCACAGACAGCTTTCCGGGTCATGTGGCCAACATGACTAAACTGCTTCTGGTGCAACGGGACACCGTGACGGAAACCAGAACGCATGGAAATGCCATTTATCTTCCTGCTGCAGTGGTACCTATTTATCTGCTCATACTGGCGTGCTTTCAAACTGCTAAGTTGGCAGAAGCTGAGACAGAGCAACGGGAGCTCACCCCTTTGTGCAGATTAGGACCGCCGACCTTCCGATCAGCAAGCCCAAGAGCCTCAGTGGTTTAGACCACAGCGCCACCTGCATCCTAGGAAAGCCTGCTTGCCCCCATCTCTGGTTACCTGCCACCTTTTCAGAGGGCTTTCAGTGATCCATAGCTGGTATTTAAGGATCCAGTCCTAGCTGCACTTGCCTGGGAGTAAGTCTCATTGAACCCAGGGTTTCTTAACTCTGAGCAGCCATTGCTTAAAGCTGATGTTCTATCATCATACAGTGGATGCTCGGGTTGCGAACGTGATCCGTGCGGGATGCACATTCGCAACCCACAACGTCCGCAACCTACAGCGGCGCGTCTGTGCATGCGTGGGTTGTGATTCGGTGTGTCTGCGTATGTGCAAAGCGCGATTTAGCACTTCTGAGCATGCGCGACCGCCGAAACCCAGAAGTAACCCGTTCCAGTACTTCTGGGTTTCGGCGGTCCGCAACCTGAAAAAATGCAACCTGAAGCGCCTATAACCCGAGGTATGACTGTATTTTAATTGACTCATGACATGCTAATTCTTTTATTGCTATGTTTGCTTTCAGTTTATTTCCTATGGTCTGGCTTCACCCGCCCTTTTGTGTAGAAATCAAACTGTAGATAGAATCAGAAAGAGCTGTACAGTAAAATTATTTTAACCATCTGCATTTATGATCCCACTCAGGCCAGCCGTTTAGCAATCTCATGCCTGGTTTTCTCCAACTCTGTAAGGTTAACTGCTCTTTTAATAGAGGTAAATGGAGGTTATCAGCTTGGAATAGCACTAAATCAGCATCTCCATTAAAAATAAAAAGAACATTAGTTATTGCCAGCTAATGAAATACTTACTCATGCTAGTTATTGAATCCTTAGGTGCCCATTATGATTTATTTAGATTTTCTTTTGCTGGTAGAATAAATAGCTGTGCTTTCCTTGCAAAGATGCCCCTGGCACGTGCCCACAATCACAGCCCAAGAAAAGGTTTACCACCCTCAATTGCCAGGCGCCTGCACTGCCTCCTAATCTCCACAAGGCACTTTAAAATGTCACTTAAGCTCAAATACAGGTTTCAGATTTCAGCGGCACCCTGTGCAAGCCCAACATTCCTCTACCGGGTGTCCTCCTGCATCGCTGACCATTGACCATGCTGGCTGGGGCTTATGCGAGCTGCAGTCAAGCAACTTCTGGGGGGCACCTGGTTGGGAAAGGCTGGCATTAGTACTATAAGCCTGTGTGTGTTTATCCACTGTCATCCCTTGGAACACAATAATCCTAAACCTGCTTTATTAGCCAACCTGACAGTTCAATATCCAAGTCAGTCTAAGTGCTTGTCAACAAAGATAAGGAGATGTTAAATGTTCAAACAATATAGAATATGTAGAATTTGGTGACTTTTGCTTCGAGAGTAGAAAAAATCTAATAGAAATTGTTGGACAGCTTAGAAACTTGATTTTCAATGACCAAACTGGGAAGAAGTGAATAGTTTTACATTCCATTTGTCTGCACCTTTACAGCATAGCACTGATAAAAGAAAAGTCTGGAAGAATGAATGCACCTGGGTCACCTGTCAAGGCAACTGATAGGATTGTCAGAGGCTTGCTAGGGGTGAAACAATCAGCTGATGTATTTAGGCTCACCTGTGGTACAAAAGTGAAGTTGCTAGTTAGTATTGAGGCTTCCTGTCTCCTTCCTGGGTTTGTGAAGTGGGAAGTAGGTGTGCTAATCGGAAAGTACTGGTTGCATCAGACTCATCATTACAAGACAGGCTTTCCCCACATGATGTTGCAGAAAACTTCCTAGAAAGAAATTCTCTCAAGAAATTTATGTAATCATAGAATCATAGAGTTGGAAGAGACCACAAGGGCCATCGAGTCCAACCCCCTGCCAAGCAGGAAACACCATCAGAGCACTCCTGACATATGGTTGTCAAGCCTCTGCTTAAAGACCTCCAAAGAAGGAGACTCCACCACACTCCTTTGTAGCACCCTGCTTGTGGTTAACGCTTACCTGGAATGAAATATTCAACGCAGCAATAGAGAAATTAAAATAATAATTTATTTGTCAGACAAATAAATGAGAGACACAGTGGTATATGGTTACCAAAGCTCTGCCCACTCCAGCCCTGATGGCCAGCACTTATATTTCCTCAGCCCAGCCCCCTTGCTCCTCCTTTGGCTGCCTCTGTCCAATCAGCCTGGTTGAAATTCCGATTGGCTGTTTGCTAGAACCAATCATAAAAGATACACCCATTTCCTATTACCTTTTATGGGAGACAAAGAGCTATATTTCCTTCTATCCATAAATGGCAGACAAGTAGCCATATATCTTACATTTGCCTCGACAAGGCACCTTAATTACCAGATCATCTTTGCCCTATTGCCCTATCGCCCTATTACCCCTTCACTCCAAAACAGATGGCTCAAACAGATGGCTCATGGTTTTAATTTTTATCTTAAACAGAGATCTTGGATTCACCTTCTCACACACCATCAATGAAATAAGAATCTAACATAAGAATCTAACATTTCTTACTTTCTAAATCCTTTGCATAATTACATTAAGTCAATATATTTCATACATTAACATATATAGCTTTTTAGAAGGAAAGGAACTTAGTAAAAACAGTTTCCAAAAGCAACCCCTTAAATTTACACCCCCCCTTTCAAGCCAGCTACTGTTCCTATTAGCTCTTGCCCTTTAACCTTATGAAAATATGGCTCAAGTCTAATGGGAGGCACCTAGTATTATTTTCTGTTAAACAATAAATCTCACTATTTACCAACTCTTAATTGTGTTTTTGCAGCTTGATTGTATTCTGTAATTTGTATGGTCAATATGACCTTTTGCTCCCAGCCTGTAATTTCCTTTTACAACTTTAAGGTACTGCTATAGATCAGGGGGGCCCTTGATCAAGAAGATAAACAACTGCCAGAGTACTCAGCCTGCTGCTTTATGTCTGGCATGAAACATACAAACATTTGCAAATATATTTTTAAAGCTCATTTTGAAATACAAGCCTTGATCAGATGCCTCACCTTGACAGCAAATTCCACTGTCGAACAGCTCTTACTGTCAGGAAGTTCTTCCTAATGCTTAGGTGGAATCTTCTTTCTTGTAGTTTGGATCCATTGCTCCGTGTCCGCTTCTCTGGAGCAGCAGAAAACAACCTTTCTCCCTCCTCTATGTGACATCCTTTTATATATTTGAACATGGCTATCATATCACCCCTTAACCTCCTCTTCTCCAGGCTAAACATGCCCAGCTCCCTTAGCCCTTCCTCATAAGGCATCGTTTCCAGGCCTTTGACCATTTTGGTTGCCCTCCTCTGGACACGTTCCAGTTTGTCAGTGTCCTTCTTGAACTGTGGTGCCCAGAACTGGACACAGTACTCCAGGTGAGGTCTGACCAGAGCAGAATACAGTGGCACTATTACTTCCCTTGATCTAGATGCTATACTCCTATTGATGCAGCCCAGAATTGCATTGGCTTTTTTAGCTGCTGTGTCACACTGTTGGCTCATGTCAAGTTTGTGGTCAACCAAGACTCCTAGATCCAAATATTATCCTCCACTTTTATTCCCCACCCCCTTATGAGACTTTTGTGGTAGACTATCTCCTGCCAACTAGTCATTTTGTGATGAAGAAGCCAAGCAGAACAGGTAAGGAGGTTGATCAGCACAAAATGACTGTTGGCCATGCTGGTTAGGGCAGATGAGAGTTGGAGTGCAGAATGTGTGGATGACACCAGGCTGAAGAAAGCTGCCACAACAGGACCAGAAACGGAGAACCAGCCAGGACAACTAGAAGCCCCATGGAGGCATTTAGGAATCCCCAGGAATGGACCGACTGAATGGGTCCCCTGCCCATCACACAAAGCACTTGGTTGTCTTTGCACAACAAACTAACATCACTTTCCAAAGTGTTCCTTTCTTGGTATTCAAAGTGCTGCTGCTGATATATATTTTTAGAAAAGTAAGTTTGTTAAGTTCCTGCAATGATATCTTAGCCAATTTATTCCCTTCCATTGGCAAACCATTCAGGTTAATGATGTTTATTCTTTCCTTGCTTCTAGATAAGCCAAACTAACTGACTAAACACCCTTTATTAGGTGAAGTAACAGAACTCTTCTTTGAGGTAAAATATCTATTGATTTCAAAATTAAGTGCAAAAGAAAGGTGATCCCACAAAAGCAAATTAATATAAAAGTTGCTAATAGCTATCTGACACCTGAGAAGTTGCACCATCCCTGACCCCCAGAAAAGGCAATGAGCAAACTCCCTCCCACATTTGGGCAAATGAGAAGGGACTGTGCACCAGACTAATGGAGCCTCTGCGGAGGGTCAGGCTGAGACAGCCCCCACTTGCTATGGTGAAGAATGAGGGCCCAAGGCCACCTGCAGCTGTCACAGGATGAAGCATCAAGCAGGAAGGA